CATAGCATAGCACAGCGCATCATATCATATCATATCATAGCCTAGCACAACACAGCGCAGCCGAGCGTAGGTGTAGATGTAGGTGTAGATGTGAGTCTCGCTGTTGATGTTGATGTAGATGTAGATGCAGGTGTAGATGTACATGTAGCTGTCGGTGTAGATGTAGATGTTGCTTTCCTAAATGCTCCAACTCCTAGGTAGGGTCGCACTGGGATAATTTCTGCTCAGTTCGGCGCTGCTGGAGCCCGAAGAGTCCAAGAGACCTCCGAGGTACGCCATGCTGTCCTTCTGAGGGATCTGCGCTCCGTCGGGCCTGCGAATGTCAGCGTCGCAGCGCACGGGCAAAGCTTCCAACTTGGTCCAGTTGAAAGTCAGTCCGTAGTTGTTGCCTGCTTCTTGGATTGCCATCATCAGAGCGCCGAAGAACTCGGCGGTCGAGCCGACCAGCAAAGTGTCGTCCGCGGCGTGGATGAGCTCCCCGACCGGGAAGCCGTCTGTCGCCTGGAAGCCCTTGCGCTGGAAGGCGGCCTTTGCGTCGTGCACCAGTATGGTCATGACGATCGAAGAGAGAAATGGTGATAGCGGGCGTCCCTGAGATATGCCGAACTCCTGCGGATGTCGTTCCGACGTCTCCCCAGCGTCGCGCACCCAGAAGGAGCGATCCGTGTAAATCGACCGCACGACCTCGGCAAAAAAAAGCTGGGCACGCCGAACCGCACAAGCGCTCGCACCAGGGCGTCCAGCGAGACGCAGTCGAAAGCCTTGGCCCAATCCAAAGCCAGGAAAAAGAGCTTGCCCGATTTAGTTTCCCAGACATCTTCGATCAGTCGCCTCGCAATGAACAGGGCATCGGCTGTCCCGCAGCCTGATCGAAACATCCAGGCTGGGTGCTCCAGAGCCAGGCCTCGGCGCCAGCACGTTTGGGCCCGTTGAGCAATACGGATGCGCAACGTTTGTGGCCAATCGGCAGCAAGGAGATAGGCCGGTCCCCCTTTTTGAAAAATGTTGTCAAAGCTTTGTAGCCAATGGGCAAAGTTTGTAGCCAATGGGCAGCAAAATGTTGGGTCCACCTGTTTGAAAATTGCTGTCACGACGGCCTGGCGCCGCGCGTCTGGCACCGACTTCTCTTCCCGGCATCGGGTACACAGCAAAGTCGCCCGTTCGCACTCCGTCGTGCCTTCCTGGCAAAGTGCTTGCCACAATGCGGCTGGAACGCCATCCTCCCCAGCAGCGCGGTTGCACTTCAGCCCGCGGGCAGCCTGGCATACTTCCGACTGGGTGATGGGGTCGGTGGGGATGTCGAGTTCGGGGCCCAAGTTGTCCAGATTGTCCGCAATCGTTGTCGGGCGCACCGCCCACGGCACCTTGGAGGAATACTCCGCCAAAGCCTCAGCTCGTTGTCGCTCGATGCCCCCGCGAGCTGCCACGGAGGTCGCAACGGTCTGCGTCGGGGGTGACCGCTGGCTTATATCTCCCCTGGCGACGGCGGGCGTAACCAGCGGGTGGAGGGAGGCCTGACATCGCTCGGACGTGTGCATTTTCTCGGCGGGGGCCATCGATGATGGGCTTGTTTTCCCCCACCACCACCATAAGTTGGAGGGGGAGGGGGTCCTCCGCCGCCTCCTCCTCCTCCTCTTCGTCCTCCTCCTCCTCCTCCTCCTCCTCCTCGTCCTCCACCTCCTTTCCCGACAGGCGACCAGGCGATCGCAAACGTGGATCAAGGGGGCGTGGATCAGCGACGGGTCCCATTTCCATGGGAAATCGTTGATTTCCGCCGCCGAGCGAGGCGGCACCGGCCGCGCTTTTGGGGAGGGCGCCTCCCCCGATCTATGGATTTTGGGCGACCGCGCGCCACATCCGTGGATCGCGAACCCGGATCCTCGTGCGGAGAGTTAAAGCGCGCACGATGTCGATCCATATGCAAGGGGGGTGAGCGTCCGAGCGATGGCCGGGAGGGGCGGAGGGGGGGCGGGCCACGTCCTCGGCTCGCGCCGGCGCCGCCTGCGAATGCTTTTGGGAGCGGTCAGCTATGTCCCACGCTGCGCGGCCGCGGATCGTGGCGTGACCATGAGGGGAGGGAGGGGGGGCCGAAGGGGCGAGGCGGCTCCCGGGCGTGATCGCGAAGAGCAGCAGGCACCGTGCAGTGTGTGCGCTCCTGGGGGGGGATCTCGGACATGCTCGCGTCGCGGCCTTCTGGGCAAAGCGTGCATGCACGCAAGTTCTCGAACGTTCTCGCGGACTTGTTGGATCTGCGTTGGGCCCCCCCTGGCGCCGCCCCTGGCGCCAAGGGCGCCGCCAGGGTGGTCCAGCGCCGATCCAAGAGATCCGCAGGCTTGTGTTAACTCCGTCCATTCGTCATCCAAACCATGCGCGGGTCGTGAAGAAAATCGCGACGGGAGGCTTTTTGCAGCTGTCGGCCTCCCAGGGAACGGGTCGGGACTTCTGGGGACGCCGTCTTGAAGCAAAGGAACACATCGCATGCATGGGACGGGCTCAGGGGAAGAAGTCTTCGACAGTCTTCAGAAGGGGCTCCTCTCGGGGCCCCTCTCGGGGCGGGCCCTTCTCGGGCCCTCCTGGGCGCCTCCGGGGACGTCTTCGAAGCCTCTGCGGCATCTGCCGCTGGGCTTCTTTCGGCCCGCGGCCCCAGAAGTCCCGGCCGCTCCCCCGTCGCCCTCGGGCCCAGGCTTGAGGACCCTCGGAGCCCGCAAGCGGCCCCCGCGGGCCGACAATCCGAGGCGGGAATTGATCCATATCCACCGCCTGGAGGGTCAGTTTTCGGAGCCTCGGCAGGCGGTGGATGTGGACATATTCCGGGCCCCCGGGGGCCGAAACACGTCCATGTCCACCGCCCGCTGGGGCACCGGGACGTCGGTTCCCAGGCGGTGGATATGGATAACTCCCCGCCTCGCACGACATCTGGGCAGCTGGATGGAAGCGGCCTCGGTTCTTCGCTCGGCTCCGCGGCCCCTCCGCCGTTGTGCCTCCCCTCGGGCCCTCGCGCGCTCCTCTTGTTCGGGCCCTCGCGCGATCCTGCTGCACTACAGGCCTCTCAGATGGGGGTCCGAGTAGAGGGGGTCGGAGGATTGCCCCAGGGCTGGACCTACACGCTGTTTTGCTGGACTTCGGCTGTGCTTTGTTTTTCCTTATTGGGAGGGAGGTACAGGAAAACAGGCAGACCAAAACGAAAGACAGAGCGAGAACAAAACGCAAAACAGCGTTTAGGTCCAGCCCTGGATTGCCCTGTATCGCCGATGCATCGGCGATGCGGCTCGAAGTGAAGCTCCATTCCTCCTCGCCGACGTCGCCGATGCACCCACCGCCGGCGTCGACGATGCGTCGCCGGTGCATCCCCGATGCATCGCCGATGCATCGCCGATGCATCGTCGACGCATCGGCGATGCGGCGCAATCCTCCGACCCCATCTACTGCGACCCTATCTATAGGAGGCCTCTATTTTGTCTGGGCCCTCGCTCGGTCCCACTGCTGCCTGAGAGTTAGCACTTGACTCAAATCGGGGAGACTCAAGGGGTCCAAGGACACGCAAAAAGGTTTCCCCATATTTCCAATATTTCCGGATTTTTGTCTTCCCGCCCAATTCCCATATTTTCCCATATTTTCCTTCTGATCGACAATCAATTGCGTCTGTGTATTTTTCCCCTCCTGAGAGACGTAAGACTCGAATAAGTCGGAACTCGGGCTTGCCGACGGTTTTTGACGAGCGCGTCCTGGAGCTGCACGGCCCAGTTTTCGTGGAAGGTTTGCAGCGGGAGCGCGCGTCAAATTTCAGATCGGGTCTCGTCGTTTTTATGACGACACCCGATCTGAAATTTGACGAGGAAGAGGAAAAGAAGGAGGAGGAGGAAAAGAAGGAGGAGGAGGAGGAGGAGCAGGAGGAGGAGGAGCAGGAGGAGGAGGAGGAGGAAAAGGAGGAGGAGGAGGAGGAGGAGGAGGAGGAGGAGGAGGAGGAGGGGGAGGAGGAGGGGGAGGAGGCCCCGCCAGGCCGACCCGAGAGCCCCCCGCACCCGAGCCTGACGCCTCCTCGAGCGGGCCCACGCCCAAGACAGAGCCAGATATTTTGCAAGCGCCGTCCTTGGCATCGCTCGGACGTGTGCATTGTTCCTTCGGCGAGGGCCATCGAGGAGCATCGAGGACCATCGGCGAGGACCATCGAGGAGAACCACGCACGAAACCGAAAAAAACACAGGGAATGGACGTCCGAGCCGATGGCCAGCGTCGACGACGTGATCTTGTTGCGGCGCCTCGCCCCTTCGACGCCAGGTGCCGGCTGCCGCTCCCGGCGCCGCCCCGGCCGGCGCCGCCCGCCGCCGCGGGCGCGCGCGGGGCGCTGCGTGCGCGGCGCCGTCATGTGGTACGACGAGCGTGCGGGCTGCGCCAGGTCCGCCGAGCGCTCGCGTCCGAGGCGGGGAGGTACAGCCAGGACGCTGAAATATAAGGACCCGTTTGGAGACTGATTGTTGTTTGGGGTCCGGCGATAACCCGGGTGATCGGGCTTGCCCCCCTCCCCCCCCAGGCTAACCTAACTTTTCCGGTTGTGCAAGTCCGGGGTGGGGGGAGGCGCGGGCATGTGCAGGGCTGCCCACAGCGCGAAGGTCAGGTGAGCGGCCAGCCCCCCTCCCCCCCCCGCCCCCTGGAGAACCCGGGTTATCGCCGATTCAAAAAGCGGTCTCCAGTCAAGACGTTGAGATCAGGACCGCTTTGGGCCCAGGAAGGGCTCTGATTTTCGGGCCGTTCCTTCGATTTGTGTCGTGGAACCTGTCTGTGGCCCAGGCCCGTCGCGGCCAGAAAAGATCTTCCGTTCCTTATTCTGCGTTCTTTGCTGTAGCACGATGACTGTGTAAATATAACTACCACCTGGGGGACCGATTCTCGGAGACTTCGCCATGCGGTGGATATATGGCTAGATTCGGGCCCCTTTGGATGGGGAGGTCACGAGTGCTGGGGTCGGTCCCTTTGGGCAGCGGGCACCCGCGGACTTGGAGCCACTAGCGGAGGTGACGCACAGGGCATTCTTCGACGTCAGGGGCGAGGAGAACGCCGAAGGTGCGTGGATGACGGATTGGCACCTGACTTGCGCCCTCCTGCAGAGGCTGGAACTCATGCGAATCAGCCGCCTGCGGCACCAATCTTTCTGGGCATTGGCAGGCGGTGGACATTGATACGTGCAGGCCCCACGGGGTCGAATGATATCCATATCCATCGCCCGCTGGGGTTCTGGGGCGGTGGATGTGTATGGGTTTTGGCCTTGCACTCCTCCCTCTCCTGGATCCTCCGATTCCCCCCTCAGCCGAAGGCACAACGATAGTGAGCAATTACGTGACACAGGCGGAGGCCGAGGTGAAGGCCATGGGCACGTTCGAAGGCCGCATTGTGTTTGGTCTGTACGGCGGCGAGACGCCCAAGACGGTCGAGAATAGGAACCGCTTCGCGAGCAGCCCATTCCGAGCAGAACAGGGGCTTGCATGGCTCCGCTTTTTGCTCCAAAACAACAAACATACAGAGGAGGCCCATGCCAAGGGTACCCTTGGTCTCTTCGGTTTCGACGGTTCTGATGCGGAGAGCTTGACGTTCCCACACCAAACATCAGTGGACGTCCTGGGGTCTCAGGGTTGGGTTTCTTGTGGAAGGTTTCTTGTGGTCGGGCCCCTACTGTACACAAACCTACTTTCGCTGAGGTCTGCGCGGGTTTCTTGGATCGGCGCTGGGTCCCCCCGGCAGGGAGTCCAGCGCCAGGGAGGGGGTCCAGCACCGATCCAGGAAATCCACGCGGATTCCCAAGACATCTGAAAGCCGTTGTGTTTTCTTTTCTATCGCAGGGCTCTGCACTACTGGTGAAGTTAGTCCTGAGTGTGGACATGATCGGGTACAGTGGGGGCGCGCATCTCGAAAACATATGCTTGTCGTCAGGGTATCCTGAGTTTCTTCACTCCTCGCGCTGCGCGGTGACTTCCCGCAGCCGTTGGAGGAGCTGCTGCGTTCAGGATGCTCCGGGTTTCTCCTCAGGTGCACTTCGCGCACGGGTTCTCATGGTTGAGTTTCTTGCGAGGGTGTCTTGCATCCGCGCCCGCACTGTATCGCAGGGCTCTGCATTGGTGGTGAAGTAAATTGTAAGTGTGGACATGATCGGGTAGTCTTTGTCTGGGTCAAGCATCCTACGGGCCGCAGACAACCTAGCTGGGGTGCAAGCTCGGCGCAGTTACAGTTCGAGCCAGATTGCTTCGGGGCGCAGCATCTAGCGTGACTGATAGGCCCCGAGCGATAGCAGGCAGCTCGACTCATATGGAATGCGCAGCTTTGCGTGAACACAACAGCGCCATGCTAGATATTAGAGTCGAATCGATGTGGTCTGGGTTTGCAGCGCCAGGGCATACTCTGATTCGGTTGCCAGGCGCCAGTACTATATACCACTGCCCACCTTCAACAGCGACGCATCGGGGGGCCGCAGTGGGCGACGGCGGGCAAGAGCAACGAGCGCGTGCCACATATCGCGCGGGGCCTTTGATTGCACACGCCGTGTTACGTATCATACGCTGCCGTGTGTGTTCGGTGCGACAAGCCGTTCGCTTCGTGCTCCAGCGCTTTCACCCTCCCACGACCCCAGCCTCAGCTCGACTCGGTTTCGGCGCAGTTCCATGGGGCGTTCGTTGTTTTCAAGATCGTCGTGCAGACCTCTGCCATACAGTCGGGGCCCTGAAGAAGGAACCCTTTTCGTTGGGGAGGGGCTCCGCGTCCCTTAAGTGTTTCACAGCTTGTCTCAGGCTTCCCTTATGTTTCCGACAGGAAATCGAAGGTTTACTTCTGGAAAAAAGGGGCCTCGTTCCTTATTTAGGGTTCCTTAGGTCAACGTCCCGACTGTATTCAATTGTTTTGCCTCGGGCTCGACGGACGCGCGAGTCGGGCATTTGCCATCGCTGGACTACAGCGAGGCGAATTACGCACAGGGGAGCCCGATCCGCGGGGAGAGCAGCGGCCGCGGAGAGAGCGGGGAAAGGAAGGCTGCGCCGTCGGAACGTGCAGTCCCTCTGGCGTGGTTCTGCGGCCTCAGGCTTCACGTGGAGTCCTGCCAGGGTCCTGCAAGCAGTGCTGCCTTGCCAGGTTCGCAAGAGTTTGGTCAGTGTGGAGGGTCCCACATGCTCACAAAAAGAAACTATGTCCTGAGATGCCTCATCCGCCACCGCACAGGGGCCGGGCGGCTTTCCTGGCGCTTTGCCGCGGTGACAGGGGGCTGTCGTACCGAGGCAGCCCATTCCATCGCGTTTTCTGGGACTTCATGGTGCAGGGCGGCGACATCGTGAACGGGGACGGGACCGGCTGCGCCAGCGTGTATGGCTCCACCTTCGAGGATCGAAACAGAAGAAGCTGCATGCCCATAAATCTGCGAAGGGCCGCGCGGATGTCGTGGATCGGCGCCGACACCCCCTCCCTGGCGCGCGGAGCGGTCCCAGGGGCGGCGCCGCCAGGGGGGGTCCACCGCCGATCCGAGAAATCGGCGCGGGTCTCCGCAGGCTTCTGTGAATACAGTCTTGGCGCGTCCCCTGGAGGATGAGCCCGCCGGCCTCGAGCTGTCCCACTCCCGCCCCGGGCTGCTGTGCATGGCCAACTCGGGCCCCGACACGAACGGTTGCCAGTTTTACGTCACCACGGCGAAGGCGGAGTTCTTGGACGGCGATCCGCGGAAGCCACCGTGCCACCACCGCCGAGCCCGGCCAGAGCCACCGTGGACCTCGGCATGGTGTGCGCGCAGGCGCTCCTCCTTGCCTCCGCCAGGAGGGCGTGTAGACCATGCCAGGGTCCAGGATGGCCCTGCTCAGGCAGGGTGCTGGCTGCACTCTAGGCCCCGGAATAGTAGAGATCCCCTCCCCTCCCCGTCCTCTCCCTGGCGCGGGCAGCAGCGCTGCAGGCGACGACAGATGGAGTATTCTTCCCCCAGGGATTGTCGTCGTCGGTTCGCCGTGGCGCTATTCTTCGCCCGACGTCGCCAGCGATCTTGGGCCGCCGAAACACGTGTTGCTCCCCGGCGCAAGGAAGTTTGAACGTTCTTGAGCGTACCATCTCAGCCACGCGCAGAGGAAGGCTTCTTGGAAGGCGCTTCTTAGAAGGCGCGGGCTTTGTCCACAGATGCAGGGCTGACGCCTTCTGAGAAGCAGCCTCCTGCGAAGGAGCCTTCCCCCCGTACCCCCCTAACTCACCTCTTCCCCCCTACCCCTGCCCCCCCTGCCCCTGCCCCCTCCACTTTGAGGCGTCGCCACGCCGTGCTAGGTCGGGCTACGCGTTGATCTTCAGCACCATGCTATGCCATGTAATGCTGCGCCCTGCTACGACACCCGACTGAGCGAACGGAGAGGAGCTCCACGCCGTGGTAGAGGATGGGAGGGAGGGGTAGGGCGTCAGATATGACGCGAGCGCACCCAGCTTGCCCCTCCCCCCTCCTTGGCATCGCTCGGACGTGTGCATTTTTCCTCCGGCGAGGACCATCGAGGAGCATCCTTGATCCTTTGGCGAAAGAACCACGCACGAGACCGAAAAAAACACAGGGAATGGACGTCCGAGCGATGGCGAGGGGATGGGAGGGAGGGGTAGGACGTCAGATATGACGCGAGCACACCTAGCTTGCCCTCCCCCCTCCCCCCTAGCCCCTACGTCCGACCCCGTGGGCGGTCCCCAGCGTTGGCCTCCCCAGGAAGTCTGGGCCTCTTGGCGCGGGGAGCGGCCTCTTCTCGTCCCGGGCGGCCCCCCCCCGGGGCCCCCGGGGATGCCGAAGACTGCACGACGCTTCCCGTCGAATTGGTCCACGACGCGAGGACTCAGGAGGGGAAAAAGCACACACACAGAGATATGGGAAACTATGGGAAGTGGGGGGGAAGACGAAAACCCAGAACATATTAGAAGATTGAGGGAACCCTTGTATTTGTGTGTATTGATTTGTGTGTCCCAGGGCCCTTTCAAGGATGCGGCATCCTCGCGTCGTGGACAGGGGTCGTCAAGCCTCGAAGAATAACAGCGATGGCGCCGCTTGCGGCGCTGTGGGTTCAGCAAGCGGCGTCGCTCCAGACGGAGGTTCTGCAGGGATATGGGGACGGCGTTGAGTGAGGTTTGGGGCTGGATTTAGTCGGGCCTGTCCGTCTACAGGAGGAATGTTCAAAATAAGGCAAACAAAAAACAGTCTGAGGACGATGTTTTAGCTATGTTTATTAATGTTTGCATACTTTTGGGCTATTTTTTATTTTTCGCCCAAAATGCGCCTGTAGGGGGACATGCCCGACCCAAGGCTAGATTCCAGCGTGGCCCTTCCCCCAAGGCCCTAGGGGAAAGATCGGCTGAAAGTTTTGGATGCGGCCCTTCTGGGGGGGCCTCGAAGGCAGGGATGTCTGCGGATATGTGGGGCACTCCAGAGCGGGGCCTCCCTCCTTCGAGGATGGCAGGCGCTGCCATCTCATCCTCGGCGGAAGGCCGGCGGAAGGCGGCGGAGGTAGAACGAGGCCGCCTCCACCTGCGGAAGGCGGGCGGCAGCCGGCGGAAGAAGAAGATGCGCCGCCCTGCCCTTCCCTTCCCACTCCCCCTCCCCCTCCCCCTCCCCCTCCCCCCAAGACAGCATTTTTGGGCACAGGGCTTCCAGAATCGGTCACGCAAAAGGGCCTTCTGCGCAGGCGAGCACGTCATCTTTGGGGAGGTGTTGGAGGGCCGCGAGGTTGTGCTGCGCATCGAGGAGTGCGCCTCGCAGTCGGGCGATCCCCTGCAGAGGGTCGTGGTCATCGGCTGCGCCCAGCTCTGAGGCGGCTGTCGTCGCCGGGCCCGCGGGCCCGCCTTGACGGGAAGGGGCCCTAAGGGAAACGGGTCTTTCGGAATGAATTCGGGGGCAGTGTTGGGGGCGGAAGAGCTCAGAGGGAGATGCATCGACCCCCAAGCGTCTAGGCCTCCTCCCGAGGGAGGCCAATGCATGTGTTTTGGAAGCCCATCGCTTTCGTCAGAACAAGGCCATACCGCCTGAACGCATGTTGGTTAGTTTTCAGATCCGCTCGGCTACTTGTCGGGGCGTCACACTATATATCATAGTAGAATATGTTGTACACATCTGTCCATGTATAGTACACATGCATTTCCATTCATATATATGTGTATACATGGTATGATGCGCATATCATTAATAATTGTGTTGGTATCTCAGGTGCAATGTTATATTTATGTCGCGTCATTCGCCTTGCCACCCCTTGTGTTTTTGACGATGTGGCACGGTCGACGAGGTGAATATTCATACTTCGGGGCGGCCATTGTTGCGCGACACAGGAACGCATATGGAGGAGGAGGAGGAGGGGGAAGGAGGAGGAGGAGGAGGAGGAGGAGGAGGAGGAGGAGGAGGAGAGGGAGAAGGAAAAGGAGGAGGAGGAATTCTCGATCCTCGATCTGCGCCTTGCCCTGCCTGGCAGGGTTTCTCACCGCCCCTATTAATTAAGGGGGGCCCCTGCAGCGCGGCCATGGCGCCTCCACAGGGCTATCCAAAGCTTTCATGACACGAACTTGCCAAACATTGCTCCAAGGCGGCCCAAGATGGTTCAAGGTCCAAGAAAACCCCAAGACGCCCCAAGAGGCTTCCGATAAGCCCAAGAGACAAATGCCATTGATGTCCCATACGTGTTTGAAGGACGTGGGGGCTCTCGTCTTTTCGGCTGCGCGGCGCTCCGAAAACAGCCAAAGAGACTTCCAGGATCGCCCAAAGATCGCTCAAGGGGCCTCCAAAAGGACCCTAAGACGGCCCAAAAAGGCCCCAAGGCGGCCCGGAGAGGTCTCAAAGACGGCATAGCTCCAAGAGGGGGCTCAAACGGGTGACCCGAACTTACATTTCGAGCTCTCGATCCCGAGAAGCCCCCAGGAGGCCTTCCCAGGAGGCCCCAAGAGGCCCTTAAGCACCGAGCTCGAAGCCCCCGAGAAGCCCCAAAGAGGCCCCAACTGACCCCCAAGCGGCCTCAAGAGGCCCCCAAGAGACCCCCAAGAGGTGTCAAAAAAGACCCAAGAGACGTCTATGAGGACTGCGGTGGTGGGACTTGCCGAAGGCAGCTGGGATATAAAACGTTGAACAAACACGGATCGACACCCGACCCTCGCAGACAAAAACAAACACAAGCACGCCCCTGCGGCAGGGCGGGCGCTCGCTGTCCTGTCGACGGCCTCCCTGGAGAGAGAGGGGTAATCCCGGCAGCAGGAGGGGGGTGCACCGGGAAGCCATGCTTTCGGGTCGCCGACGCCGGATCCCCATCGGCATTCAGCGACGTGCAGGCCGGCAAGCGAATCTGTTCTCGCTCCACCGTTGGCCTGAATGCAACAGGGTTCGCTTGAGCATTCGCCGACCCCACAGGGTCAGAAAGGCCGTGAGAGCCAGAGCGATGCCCCCTGTCCCCGAGCACGACGCATCTAAGGTTTTGGGAAAGGGGGAAAGGGTGAGGGGCGACGGACGAGGTGGTCTCATGTACATTAAGTTAAATAATGTTTGAGGGTCAGTCTTTTGGCCTTGTTTATTGAACTTGCCATGGAAGTCCTCCTCGCGGAGGGTGTCACACCACGCTGGGTTCAACCTTTGCAGTGGGAGCTCAGACGACGTGTGATCCCAGTAGTGATCTTTCCGAACCTTGCCGAGCGACGAGCAGTTCTTGCCGCCGGTTATGCTCCGCGATCGCCAAACGCTGCCGCCGCTCCTCAGGATCCTCCTGCCTCGCGCGCTCATCGGCAGCGGCGGCGGCCAATTCTCCCGCGCCCTCTGGCCTTTCGCGCGCCGCGCGCTCGCCGCTTCCCGCCGGCGCTGTGCCCGCAGAAGGCGCCGACGCAGCAGCCGCGGCCTCCCCCGCAGGATCCCTGGTCGCATGTTCCACGACTGACCGCGCCGCCGGCGCGCCAGTCGCTCCGGGCACGGGCGCAACGCGCGGGGCCCTGCTCGCGACCTCGCGGAACTCCTGCACCTTAGCCCAGGAATGGGCCCGCCTTCGCGCCCGCGCCGCCCGCTTTTTTTCTGCTGGCCAAAATGGCCCACACAGTGCACGTCGCATCCCTCCGCGGGCGCACGTCGGCATTGCGCGCCAAGACCCTGGCCCCAAACCCGTGCCAGACATTTATTAAAATCGATCGCGCATTGCGCGCGTCGAGACCACTCGCCATCCGCAGGCGGTGGCCCCCCGCCGGCATCCACGCCGGCAGTCGGCTCGTCAGCTGACGCGGGCCCCGCACCAGTGCCCGCGCCGCCGTCTCCGTCGCCCGCGGCTTCCAGCCTCCGCGGAAACATCCCCCGTTTCTTGCCACAACGCCCTGGCAGCTGCGACTGGCCCGACGCGGCAGAAGCCCCGCCGGCGTTGGGGCCATCGCCGCCCGACCGCCACCGGCTCTTGCCCGCGGGCTCTTCTCCCGACGCCGCCTGCCCAACGGGCGCATTCGGCACCGCAGACGGCGCGGCAGAGGCGCCAGAAGGGGCGCCGCCGTCGCCGCCGCCCCTGCAAGAACCTACCGCGCAACCGAGTTCGCCGGGCCGAGCGCCCGCCGAACGCACATGCGCGAACGCGCGCGCCACGCGCGGCAACTCTCCGAATGAGCATACTCCCTCCCGGAAATGCCAAACACTGGCATCGCATCGTCAAAGCGCGCATGCCGACTGTCACCGACAATCCCGGATGCAATGCAATATCAACTATGCACGGGCAAACGCCTGTAGTCCTGAGGGAGATGCGCAGTGACACCCGACCGCCCATGCTCGCACCCGCTTTGCTCCGGTACCATTGCTTGCGGGAAAAGAACGCGTCGCCGGTCATACCACTGATTGTTGAGAGGTTGCCACGCACCCGCTTCACGGTGAAAAAAAAACGGGCGGCGCACCCCATAATTGACATGTTCGTCGAGTCTACGAGACAAATACGTCGAATACGAAAAGATTCACGAGCATTCGGCGCACTTGTTGTAGATTCGACGAGCACACAATGTTGGGGGTCAATATGTCATGTAGTCGATATCCTACTCGAACGGTGTGGCCTGTTCACCCCCGATTGAATATCCCGCAAAAGTTTGACGTTATGCTCGTTGGCTGTCGCTTTCAATGGCCCGGGAAATCTTAGGGGCGGGGCGTGCTCCCGTGCCGTTGTTTGCGCCGCGTTTTCGTTTCCGTCGTACAGTCGGGGCGCTGGAAGGAGAAAACAAAAAACAAAAAAAAAAAAAAAAAAAAAAAAAAAAAAAAAAAAAACCTTTTCGTTGGGGAGGGGTTCGGCGTTTCTTGATGATTTAACAGTTTGCCGCAAGTTTTCTTGGGGGGTTCGATGGGAAATCGAAATTTAATTTATGGGAGAAATGGACCTCGTTCCTTATGTAGGGTCCCGTAGGTCAGCGCCCGACTGTAAGACAGTGGCCAGGTCAGTCGTGCGGAAATGGCCGTGGGAGTACCTGAAAGGGGGGTGTTGCTGAAGAAGTTGCGTTTCTGAACCCTTTCCAGCTTTGGCTCGGAAGCTGGGCGAGGACTGGCAAATCCGTGGCTGCTAAAACGGTCTTCCCGGAAGGAAAAACAACTTCCCCGAATCAAGTTCAGCGCGCGGAATATCAAATTGGCTGCTTCCCGGAAGAAGCAAACACGTTCCCGGAGTTTTGTTTTAGCAGCCACGGATTGGCCAGCCTTCGCCTGGCTTCTGATTCGCGGACTCTTTGCAGCGACATGTGGCAAAACGATTGGAGGGTCCGTTCGGTATCGGTTCGTTCTTGTGCTGCTGTTTTGGGGCTCCTGCGGCTGTTGTTGCACAACCATTCGCGTTGCTTCGGAATGTATGTTGCCCGCTCTTTCTTTCAGGCCAGATGTTTCACATATTTGCCCGGACGTGAGCGCGACCATGAACTATGATGCATCCCAATTGTGGTGTTTATCGTTCGCTGCTCCCTGTCTCAACTAGAGCGATTGTGAAAGAAAAGTTCAAGGCGACTGTGACTCTTCCCTTATTGGGGAGACCATGAATTTCTTGCACGGAAGTTCCATGGCAGGAGTACGCCCTCTGTTTTCGACAGGTGCTCCAAGCAGGAGTAGGAATCAGACCCCGCAAGGTTGGTACAGTGTGCTTGACGGTTAAGAACGACCTTATGTTTGGAAGGTTTCCCCAGGGTCCATGTTGGTCCGACTCGACATTGATTTCAGCCGACCCAATGCGATGCGTTTCTGATATCCCGGCGATCCCATGCGGCCCCATGTTTGCATGGCGTTGAAGGGCATCTAGGCGTTGCCGATCCGACTTTGTTCCGCTTCCGTGCCCATGCGGCCCGATCCGACGCACGTTCCGAGTCGGTCCGCTCTCCCCATGCGATGTTGCTTGAGTCCGCACGACGGTCAAGAACCACCCTACTTTTGGAAGGGACCTTGCACGTCCCTCGTGCCTGGGCTCTCCACCCTGAATTGTCCGCCACCTCCTCCTCCTACTCCTCCGCCTCCGCCTCCTCCTCCTCCTCCTCCTCCTCCTCCTCCTCCTCCTCCTCCTCCTCCTCCTCCTCCTCCTCCTCCTCCTCCTCCTCCTCCTCCTCCCCTCCCCCTCCCCCCCCCCTCCCCCTCCCCCTCCCCTCCCCCTCCCCCTCCCCTCCTCCCCCCCTCCTCCTCCTCCTGCCCCTCCACGTTCGCCGCTCGCGACGCATCCCTCCCTCAAGGCGTTTTTTTGCTGCACGTCCCCAGCGCGGCGCCCGACGCGCCTTCGGAGAGCCGCGCCCGCGCGCGCACGGCCTCGGGTGCTGCCGGAAGCATCCCTGGCCCAGGGCGCCCCCAGGATCCCCAGGGGGGCCCCCACTCCTCCTCCTCCTCTTCCTCCTCCTCCTCCTCCTCCTTCATCCTCCGCCTCCTTTCCTCATCATCCCTCCTGATCCTCCTCCTCCTCCTCCTCCTCCCCGCCTCCTCCTCTCCCCCCTCCTCATCCCCGCCTCGTCTCCTCCTCCTCCTCCTCCTCCTCCTCCTCCTCCTCCTCCTCCTCCTCCTCCTCCTCCTCCTCCTCCTCCTCCTCCTCCTCCTCCCCCTCCTCTTCCTCCTCTGTTGCCCTTGCTTCGTGTTTCGCTACTCGGGGCCTCCTGGGAGGCCCTCGCCGCCACGGTTGGATCCTCCTCGAAGTTCGTCCCAGACCGCACCTTGGGAGAAGTCCGAGGAGTGGCGGTATGTTACCAGCCTGAGACATCTCCCTATCCCGATGATGGGCATCACCTTATCTCGGTGCCGATCTTGAGGATCACACCTTCTGAGGACGCATCCCCAAGATTGCATTCGCCCTTTGGCTTGTCGATCATAGGGATAGGGATACGTTCGAGGCTGGTAGGTTTACGTAATTCGGGCGTGTCCCTCTACAGGGGGAATATTCAAAAAATAATCTGGGGACTATTTCTTGCTTGTTGTTTGACCATTTTGGGAGTATTGTGTAGTATGTTTAATTCTCCGCCCAAAATCCCTCTGTAGGGGGGCACGCCCGACCGAAGGATAGGGATACGTTCGAGGCTGGTAGGTCTGGGTATTTGTTTGTCCCCCAGGGACGAGACAGCTGCAACCGCCGGGCTCTGCGGGAGCCGCCCCCCGCGCTCCCCCGCGGGCCACCTCGATCCCCCGTGCGGTGACGGCCCGCGCGATGCACTCGGAGACGAGCGCCGCGCGCAGGTCGTCGCTGGAGGGGTCGGGGTCGCCCGCGGGAGGGCCAGTGGGCGGACAAACTATCGCACGTGATCTGATCGTTCCGAGAGGCAACCAAGGCCCAGAAACGGAGTGCCTTTCCTGGGCTGCCTGCACACACCTCCCAGATACCTTTCTTGGGCTGCCCGCGGGGTACCTGGTACAGTAGGCGGACAACATATCGCACGTTATCTGATCGCTCCGAGAGGCAGCGTGCCAATTTGGATCATCTTCCCTCGATCTCCGAGGAACTCCCCCCCCCACATCTCAATGCTGGTTTGCATGATCTTGTCCTCCCGGACTTGGGGTGCTCGCTCGATGCCAACATTGAAATGTAGGGGGCGGAGGTGTTTCGTCGAGGTGGCGTCGCATGTAGGTGCAGCCATATGCGGTCAGGAACAACTTGCAACATTTCGTCGTCTCACCGGCGTGCAGTCGACCCGCATCATAGGATGCAAGGGCCTCGGAGGGCCATTTCGAAGCTTTTCAAGTGGGACGCGGCCAACGAAGATGGTCAAGGATGGACCAAGGAGGTAATTAGGGATGCAAGGGTACCCCTTGGGAAGGCTGCCCATCTTTCCTATGCGGGTCAACTGTGCTGGTGCTCGCACGGGTACGTCACACACACACACCACGCGGTGCGTTGACGATGCTAGGCGGAGGCAAGGAATATTGCACCTGAAGCTACAACACGTGGCGTACAATGTGTTCGAAATGACGCTGCGAATGTCGCGCCGCGTGCTGAGCTGTTGTCGTGCTGCCGAACATGCGCTGGGAAACCTGCGCCATGTCAATCAGCAAACTCCCTGTGGGGACTACTAACCGTCCTCGTCGAAGCGGCTGTCAAGGGGGGGTCGCCAGAGGCGATTTCGTTAGCCCAGCGGTTGTACGGTCGGACCGAGGTATGATCGAGGTCGGTTCGGGGAGGTATTATAATGCTCTTCGTGCTTGCTGGATGTTCTTGTGCATCCTGGGAGAGGGTACCCTCGAACATTTTGGAAGGATGTTCTTCTGTCCTGGGTCCGACCATCATTGTCTCTCCTTCGCTCCTGATCCAAGGAGGCCCCCCCACGGACTCCAGAGGCACCTCAGGCGGTGAGGCCCAGAGGGCCCCCCTGGGGTTGCCAGGCTGGAGCGGAGAGCCAGGGACAGCTCCCGGGCCGGGGACGCTTTCAGCAAGGGCGCCCTCGAGGGCGCGAAGTGACTCGAGCTTCGCGCTTCGGCTCCACTGCCTCACCCTCCTCTTCTCCCCTGGGGGGCGGCGCGAGAGCGCGGAGCGACCTGCGCGTCGCGCAGCACGGAGCGCGAAGTAGCGCCCTTGGAAGAGTCGGGGGCACCTTTTGGGCCAGGGACCCTCAGCCACGCGCAGAGGGGGGTGGAGGGAGGGGGAAGGGCTGCCTAGAACCCTCGTCAAAATTAACCTCAAACATGTCTTACGTGGCTGAATTGTTTGTGGGGAGGTACTGGTGAGAGTTGCGGTGACTGCGAGGTACTTGTATGCGCCGCCCCTCCGGAGGGGCATCTTTCGACATTGAAGAGCGCGCCGACATCGCAGGGCGTGGTCGCCATGTTTGATGTTCATTGCGCGGGCCTCGCACCTGTAGATGCGAGGCCGGCGCCTTCCAAGGAGCAGTCTCCTTCTGCGAAGCCCTCCCCCCTCCCCCCCTCGCTTCTCCTCCTCCTCCTCCTCCTCCTCCTCCCCTTTGCGCGCCGCCTGGGGGGCACCTCTTGGGCCGGGGACGCCCTCGGCGGCCCCCGGCTCCGCTGGCACCCGTCTCCGTCGCAGGCCGAGGCGCCGGCGCGCAGGCGCCCCGCGGGGGGGGGGGCGGCTCGGGGGCCCGCCGAGCTCCGGCGCTCGAGCCCGGGCACGCACGGGTGCGGCCAGGCGGCGGAGGTCAGTCTCCCGGCACCACTTCCCCTTCCTATAGGAAGGAGGAGGAGGAGGAGGAGGAGGAGGAGGAGGAGCAGGAGGAGGCGATGCCCCGGCGGAGGTGCAGTTCTTTCTCGGCGAGGACCATCGAGGACCATCCTGGGCCATCGAGCAACAAAAGCACGCACGAAGCCGAACAAAGTGCACGGGAGATGGACGTCCGAGCGACGGCAGGGTGTCGATGGAGCGCTCCCCAGCCCCGGGCTCATCCGCTCCGAGGGCCCCACCAAATTGCACCCTCAGTTGGGCATGCTCGCCTCGAAGCCCGAAGGGCACGGCCCACATCCCCATCCAGGGGGGGGGGAAATCGGCCAGGGGGCCCAGCCAGCCCGCGCTTCTTGTGATTGGGAACCGACGAGTTGTGCGACCCGCCTCGTTTTGTCGGGCCTGGCTCTGTTTTCGAACTCGTGCAATTTCTTGGATTGAGAGTTGACGAATTGTGCAGCTCTTTTGACTGGGAAAGCAAAAAAGGTTGCGCAACTCGTCAGCCCAGGCACGGATTGGTGCGATCAAGCGATGCAGGAATGCCCAGAAGGGTCGCGGCGCCCCACTGGGGAGAGGTGAATGATTCAAGCAGTGGCGCAGCGTCCTGGCTCGCCCAGAGGCCCACCAAATAATGTTCTAAGAACTTCTCGTTGTAGTTTGCAAGTTTGTTGCAAGTTGGTTTGAGGTCGTTGCTCGGTGGATCAAAACACTATCTTCTCTCCATCTGTCCCTCTCTCTCTCTTTCTCTGCCTCTCTCCCTCTCTAGAGCAGCTCGAGTCATGCCTCCTTTCGAGGACGCTGGGAGTCCAGTGCCACAGCGTGTTTGGCGTGAAGTGGGCAGCGTTTGGGTGGTGCAAGTTGGTTTGGGGTCGTTGCCCCGTGGATCCCGAAAAAGCTATCTTCTCGTTCGCTCTCTCTCTCTCTCTCTCTCTCAATCTCTCTCTCTCCCTCCCTCCCTCCCTCCCTCCCTCCCCCTCTGGGGAGGAAGAGGAGGAGGAGGAGGAGGGAGGCGGAGGTGGAGGAGGAGGAGGAGAGAGGACCTCTCCCTCTCTTCCTCTCGTTCTCCCCTCCCCTGGGAGGGAGGCCCAGATGGCGCCGCGCCCTCGCTCCTGTGGTGGCCCTCGCCTGGCTTGCGTCGCGCGGCGCAGCCGCCGGAGGGGACGGCTCGCTGGGGGCAGCGGGCAGCGGCGGGGGCTCCTCCTCCTCCCCTCCTCCTTCCTCCTCCTCCTCCTCCTCCTCCTCCTCCTCCTCCTCCTCCTCCTCCTCCTCCGCCTCCTCCTCCTCCTCCTCCTCCTCCTCCTCCTCCTCCCCCCCCTCCTCCTCCCCCTCCTCCTCCCCCTCCTCCTCCTCCCCCCTCCTCCTTCTCCTCCTCCTCCTCTTCCTCCTCCTCCCCCTCCTCCTCCCCCTCCTCCTCCTTCTCCTCCTCCTCATCCTCATCCTCATCCTCGCCCCGCTCGAGAAGCTTCGAAATGGGCGCCCAAGGCCCTTGCACCCTTGTCGCGCATCCTTGCCGTCGCTCGGACGTCCATTTCCCGTGCATTTGTCGGTTTCGTGCGTGTGTTTTTTGCTCGATGGTCCAGGATGGTCCTCAATGGTTCTCGCCGAGAAAAACTGCACACGTCCGGAGATGCTTGCCAGTGCCACAGTGATGACGATTGCTCTCGCTCGCGGCGCCGTCGCGTGTGAGGAGGGGCTGCGCCTGCCTGCCGTGCGGCAGCTGTCACCTCTGGCTGCGTCCACCGGCGGCGCGCCCAGGGGGGGGAAGGCAGAGGGGGCGGCCTCTTCAGAGGGCCCGGGAGGCCTCGGGCCTCCCGAGAAGCCTTCTTCAGAGGGCACGGTTCCACGGTCCTAGGGGCCTACGCCTTCCACGGGGGCCGCAGGCGACCCGAGGAGGAGGAGGAGGAGGAGGAGGAGGAGGAGGAGG